CTATTTTACTAATAAAAAAATTAATTAGGATTTATTGAAGAATTTAACATTTTTAATAACTTTTTTTTAAAAGTTTATTTGTTTTTTGTCCTTTTGAATCCACAAAATACTTTTTTGGGGCCAGCACTGATTGGCCAAGCAATCTCACATGACCCTCTGCAGCAAGTGATGGCCAAGTGGGGCGTGTCATCACGACTTTACACAAGTGTGTCTTTACCTCTAGCAGAGGCTCCGCCGAACCCCTGAGACCGGCTCATCGAACCCAGTTTAAGAACCAGTACTCTAGGTCATAGCAGGGTAATCATCCAGTGTGAAGGGGCCTTGATGAGTAAATCATGTAAACTCTGTGCTTGCAGCTCACTGTAGTATTGCATTCAAGGGTAATTAGTCCTATGTACTCGTCATGTTTATTTTTATCGCCCACTGCTGAAAGGGTAAGGCAGATGGTAATGTTTTTGTCAATGTGTGTGCGTTTGTGTGTCTTGTCTGTTACCAAAATATCTCATAAATAGTTGAATGAAGCTTTCAGAAACTAGATGAGTTTTATTGAAACCTTTTGATAAACATTTTGATGTGCATCTACAACTGACTGACTTATATCAGCCAAATCCAAGATGGCAACCACAACCAGCAGGAGTCAATTTTACGGATATTGTGCAAAAACTTGWCACCCCTGGACAGATTTATTGACAAATTGATTGTTATTTTTTGCAGAGAATCCAAATTAAAAAGACATCACAGGTATTTAACATTAGTCTACACAAAACTGACTATTTATCAATCAAATTTACAGCTAGTGTGTTAAATTTGATGTGGTAGCAGGTGGGAGTCATTCAAAACACTTAGCAAGACATCTTGCAATATTGAGTGAGACTAGACATTCTCAAGTTTTACCCAAAATGTCTGCAATTTTGCATATCCCAAAAATAAAATGATTTTAGCCTAAAACATTAGCATAAATGATGATGTATTCAAAGAGTGCAACGACATAGGTTAGTAGCCAATTTAATAGACACAATTTGAATATATATAAAAATAGATACAATACCTTCATCAACAACAGTGAGGTGACTATACTTGAATTTTTTATTATATAATCTTTTAGTTTCCATTGACCTAATTGTGATTCTAACTTCATTTTCTAATAATCTCCTAACCTTTTTTTGTCACTTCAGTAGAAAACGAAACCAAATATTATTAGTTTATTTAGTTTTTTTATTTCTTCATCATCAGTGACTTTTTTTAAAGTGAAGAGAAAAGAGAGAAAGAGAGAAAAACA